AAGGATGCTACTAGGGGCTCCTGGCCTTACTACTAGGAGCAAGAAGCTACTAGGGGCTCCTGGCCCTACTACTAGGAACAAGAAGCTACTAGGGGCTCCTGGCCCTACTACTAGGAACAAGAAGCTACTAGGGGCTCCTGGCATCGCTACTGGGAGCAAGGACGCTACTAGGGTCTCCTGGCATCGCTACTAGGAGCAAGGACGCTACTAGGGGCTCCTGGCATCGCTACTAGGAGCAAGGACGCTACTAGGGGCTCCTGGCATCGCTACTAGGAGCAAGGACGCTACTAGGGACATGGGACATGGTCCAGGGGTGGTTTTGGTTCCCACAGATGGGGACGGCAACACTAACAGTCAAGACTTAGTCCACAGGAAGAGACAGGAGGTTCAGTAGCGTTTAGTACTTTGTATAGTCAGTGTCGTCGTCCTCCTCCTCATCATCATCATCATTTGGAAAAGGCACAGTACCAGTCACAGTGTGAGGACTCCGCAAGATTTTCTGAATAGCACTGCCACGCAAGTAGACCACATGTTTCACATCAGAGGCTCACTCCATGCTCCGCATTCTGCAGCTTCCGGGCAGGATCTGAGAACACCTACACCACATACCTGGGATCTCCATGGAGATCCCGGAGAGTAGTACAGGTGATCCCGACATGAAGGTGCTGATACATGATCTTTTGCAAATGGATCCGTGCCGGGCCGTGTCATGAGCAGACCAGACTATTCAGCAAGGCGAGGGCCAAACCCACGGGGGGGACGGGCGCTTGGCGGTTGGAACGGCGAGCCGAACGCAGGAGTCCTGCGAAACGTTTGTCAGTGTGGGAGGGACTCCAGACTCTACTCTCTTCCACAACCTTCTACTCAGGTTGCAGAGAATCTTCCAGAAGGCTTATCCGTGGGGCTCCAACATGATATCATGATCCTCAGGTAGGGCTCGGCATCCGACCCTTGTAGGGGAGGTCTCCACCCAACCAGACCCAACCACCCACCCACCGAGTTTCAGAGGTCCGGAGTGAAGAGAGGCGGTCGCAGCCCTGCCGCCCCTGCGCCAAGCCGCGAAGACCTGCAACAACCGCAAAAACCGTTCCTTCTGCGAAGACGCATGGGATCTCCGCGAAAGCATCGCATCGGCTCCATCCGGCTCCCTCCGGCGCTGCACTGCACTCGGAGCGAGAGCAAACACCGCCGGGGAAGATGTTCATACTGTATACTGCATTCTTTTTTGTGAGTGGGGAGTACTCACTGGAGGGCTCCTTTCCGAGGCTACAAAGGCATACTAAAACATACAGATAAAAACAAAAAACAACCAAACAAACTGATGCCAACCATTACTATACTGTATACAGATTATACAGAACATGACTGAAACTGTAGCAGAGAACTCTAACACCAACTGCATGCCAACCAGATAACACACACACACACATGGATCATCACACTCAAACACACCCACTGATTTGGCTGGGATCTGGCAAGCAACATGCAATTTTACAGGGATTTGGCAGATGCAGCATCTGCGTGTAGATGTGGGAACCTGCAAACTGCCACTCCGACGTGTTATACACACACAACGTCCACCCGAAACCTTCAATGAAGCGCACGCGACACACACATGGTCGTCCTTCCGGGCCACTGGGCCACAATGGTGGGTCTGGCTCTTGCTGAAAAACGTCCTGTGAACCCTCGAGTCCCTTGGTTCTCCACCCCCCCCACGAGTCCCTTAGGCCCGGTTCATCGGTCGAAGTCGACGGCCGTCAGGAGAGCCGGGCCGTTCGGCGGCGGAACGGGTCGGGGAGCCCGACAGCGGGTCGGGGCGCGATCTCCCGCGAGGATAGCGGTGTGGGTGGCTGAAATATGCTGAAATGCTGGACAGGGTTTAAGTTTAGGGTTTCAGGTGCCCAAGGGATGCCAAGAGTCTTCTTGGGATTCGGATGGATTCGGTCGAAACATTTCATGTGCCATGTGCCTCCAAGACGATGGTGTGTCCGGTGTCACGCCTCTCATGTTGTGTTGGGTCCGTTGGTCGAGCCTTTGGTCCTTCAGTCACTTTCTGATCAATGGGAATCCATTGCTGACACCTTTTGGCCTGAAGACCCAGTAAATACCTGGCTCGACTCGATATGACTCGACTCTTTTATGACTCTTCAATTCCTTTGCCCAAAAAACAACGAGTGAGGCAGTATTATCCATCAACTTTGTAACTGATCTTAAACTGCGGTCATCCTTGATGGCTGTATGACAAATACACATACTGTAATTATTGTTATATAATATACTAGCATATACTAGCTGTGTATCATTGTGTATATTAATATCAAAAAATAATATTTAAAAACGGCACATAATGGCACATGTTGATATTGATGTGTCCACAAAGTCTAAGTGTAATTATCATATTAAATTACTAATCACTCCCGCACATGCAATTGAGAACGTGTCCCCATGATTGGCATTGACACGTGTTTGCAGTGTGGGTGCGAGGTACGTGTACATATTCTGAAGTTTCTTGCCTTTTATGCGTACAGTGGAGCCAGTCCGCGCTGCTGCTGGTCAAGGCAGATCATGGGGACGATGAAGGCAACATGGGTCAACCAACGAGACTTGCTTGCCTAGAAGCCAGACATTGCCCCCGTTTTGATATCAAAATGTGATGCTGATTCCAGATCATTTACGAGTCATCTTCATGAGATTTCTTTAAACATCTTTAACAAACGTTGGATGCAAAAGAACAAAAACTAAAAAAACCTGGAAAAAACAACACAATCAAAAGACGTATGTTGGTCTACACCCAAAGTCGTTCGATATTAAACAAACGTTGGATGCACATGAAAAAGACTTTAGACCAACCCAACGATCTCCAACGATCTCCACGCTTCGCTCGGTGCCCCGGAGCGCGACGGAGCAGCCATGTGGCAAGTGAATGGCTTCGATCGCCGCTGCTTTCAGCTGGGCCGGGGGACTCGGGATGCGGACCGAAAGAAGGGAGGACTGCTGGAACTGAACCGATCCTATCAGTAATATATGGTCATATATATATATATATGCAGTATGCATTATGTATATATTATATAGAGATCTATATTATACAATTGTGTATGATCCCGGATCCACTGAATCCCCTGAGACGGTGCCGACAGTGGGTGTTTCAGGTAGGGAGAGCACTCCAGGACAACCACCAGGGTGATTCGGGCGCCACTCATATGAGCGGTCTCAGACTGGTGACTGGTACACTGCTGAAGTCAAAGGTATAATTTGGGAATCAGACCTTGCAAGCTTTTTCTCTATATATACATAACAGATCATAACAGGTCAATTGAGGGTGAAAAGGATAGGCCCCAGACTTCCATTGTTTGGGCAGCCCAGTTGGCTCGACACATTGACATGACACACTAATGGGCTAATAGATGCTAATAGGTATATCGGTATGTTAGTTGCTCTGTCTCAAACTACCACTGACTCGCTATCTAAGAGGACAATTGATGAACCATCATGTTTCAGCTTCCAAGGGTTTACCAAATGAACAACCCGACCCTATACTTATAGGCCTGCAGACTGGACACCCAGACAGGAAGCGCTGTTAACTTCGCACTCCTTTCTCCCATTAGGCCGAGGCTTTCGGCTGGTAGCGGTGGACTTGCCTGGAGGCCAGGCCAAGAGTTTTTTCAAACGAGAAGGTACCTGTGAGGTTTGGACATCCACAAAACTATCTGGATTTGTCGAAGCCGTTGGCAGATCCCACACTTTCTCCTAGAATGAGATGCATGGCTATAGTCTTCCAAAGTTGGAGAGGAAATATGGCAGAGGGGAACATTGACCATATTTGGGGGGGGCGCGAAATCATGTACTGAACTGAACAGGGTCATGTTTCTTTGCCAAGACCGTGAAACGTCATGTTGTACAAGTGCTGTTTGCCTTCCCAAGCACGCCCTACATTGACCCCATTGAAACCACTCCAAAATATGGGTAAGTATCACTAAATGTACTTCTTTTGATTCCCTGTAACTTTCAAAGTGCCTGTTGTCCACTTGCATGTGCTTTCGTGCTTTCGTTCCATGTGCCGAAACATCATTTGGGAAAGGGTCCTAGCTGATATGTAGCAGCCGCTCAACGCCCCCATCAAACATTCACAGAGACTGGTGCAAGGGTCAGCGACTCAGCACCATCGCTCTGTAATGTTGATTATGCTCAAGAGTAAACATCAACACAAGATCCAATCCGGTTTCCAAATTGGGGAGTTTAGCCCACCCAGCATGATCAGCATGTGGATGAACTGGGCAGACAGGAGGTTCTTCAACAACCACCCCGACATGGAATTCCTGGATGGTTTTGTCTTCACTGCTTCTATTGTGGCGTTGCTGTTTGTGTTTGATCTTTGGATCACCGAAAGGCACCTTCTTTCGATTGGTGTCGAGGGTCAGTCTTCTTTACCTTCCGAACAAGGTCGTTGGCTCCCTAGGATTGGTACCAACCAACCACCAAGTGCTCAGAAACCGACCTAAATTCAGCTCAGCTCTTTCCAGACCCTATGGTGCTTAAGTCGCGCACGTTCAGAACGTTGCCGCGACGTCCGGGACCTCGCACTCCTTCCGGGAGTGAGCGAACGGAACCCTTCGCCGGCTTCCGTTGCACCGAGCCAGGTCTAGCTTTGCCGGAGAGCACCCCCCAGGCAGCGACCTCTTGGGTCGGGTTTCGGTCGCAGGTTGGAGCCATGTCATGCTCCAAAACGAGGTGTTTTTGAAGTGAAGTGAAGAGACGCATGGCGTAGAATAGAGAGTCAGAGCGTGATCCACCGAAAGTGGTTCCGAGCCGCTGGAATCCGGCCTGACTATGAATTTACAGGTGTCTATGTATATATAGTATACATATATAGTTAAGAAGTATATACAGGGTCCTATGATCATAGATTAGCACACTTTTTGGCACGGGCGACTGAATCCCAGAGGAGTCCTATAATCTAGAAATATCTATAGAATCAGTTCTATATGTGTACTTTTGTGATGCAGCGATCCTGTCGCCCCGGACATGACGCCTTTGGAGCCGCCCCATTCGTGGTCGGGGCCGCCTTCGCTTTGGGCGGCGAGGAGCTCCGTGCCTTGATCGCCAGCGGCGAGCAGCAGTTGGCCGAGGCGCGCGGACGCGCACGAGGTCTCGACGTGGACGTGAGGAGGTCTGATGTCTCAGGACGTGAGGAGCAGTGAAACCATGTGAAACCAGAAAGAAGACGAACTTGTTTTTGTTTTTTATCCCAAAAAACATGTCTTTCTTTTTTTTTGAACTTTCTCCGGTTTGCCTGGGTGCTCCTGACATGAGAAGGATCGTTCGAACTTGGCCGCCCGAGTTCGGTCAAGCGCGCGAGTTCGCTGTCTCGGAGCTTTTGGGGCGCGACTTTGGAAGGAACGACCCCCCCTACGGTGGTTGGGTGGCGCAGTTCGGGGTTAACCCGAAGATGTTCAGTGATTTGGATCTATCCAGGATAGGTTGTTTGCCAGGGGTATATAGGGGGATGCCGACATGCGTGTGGATCTCTGGTTCTATTGGCCCCCCAGAAAAGGAATACTGAATTGTATATATATAGACCTCCAGGATCAACACGCAATGCATCGTCCGTGCCAGGGGGGATCTTGGAAGTTGTTTGGGACCAGACAAAGGACCATGTTCACCAGCCCCGGTTGAAACGGGAAGCTTCGAAGCCAGTGGGGTCCAAAGGTTGGGAAGCCAGTGGGTTTCGTTGGATGTCTGAACTTCCCCAGAGCGCCCGCAGAGCGCGAGAAAAATTACACCAGCATAGACCCCAGATATTTAAAAGCATGCAACATATTTTTCTGGACTGCACCCTGCATTGAGCAGCTCCAAAGCACGACACACAGGAACCTTTTTTACACTGGAAAAGAACGCCGCAATACAGCGTGGCGTGTCTCCACTACGCGCACAGCACCAGGACCCGGCACCAGCACCCAATCTCCACCACGCACACAACGATCACCCGCAACCCGGCACCGGCACCCTGTGCCCCCCCACGTGCACAGCACCAGCACCCAGCACCGGCACGCCAGCTCACAGCACCACCTGCACCCAGTCTCCACCACGCGCACAGCCAGCACCCGGCACCCTGTCTCCACCACGCTCAGCCAGCTCACAGCACCCAGCACCAGCACCACAGCCAGCACCAGCAACCAGCACCCGGCACCGGCTCAGACTTTAGTTATTCTTAGTAGTATTCCTAGGGTCAAAAAACAAATCCAACATTGACATTGATGTACACATCCTGAAGATGCCAAGAAATCAGGCAGGGGTCCAAAACAAATCCAATTGACAAGTCCTTGAGTCCTTGCGACGTCAAAGACATCGCCAGGGCTCTGTCGAAGCGGCGCTGGAGGCGGCTCCGAGCCTTTCCGTCGAGTGGATTCCGTTTTAAAACGACTTGGAGAAGGGCATCTCTTGGAAGATTGAAGACTGTCTTCCTATTCTTTCCTCTAGCGCAAACAGTGAAATTTATGGAATTCTGAACTTCCATGACGCTAGATGGTGTGGTTGAGAACAGACTGGGGGATGTTCAAATTCATCCACACATGTCAAGTGGGGTCTTAATTTTAATAGACATGCGGCACGTGTGTTTGAACTTGCATTGTACCCTACCAACAATCATGGGAAGTGGACAACCCCCTCTTTCTTGAGCAAACTTTTCTTCCAGGGGCCATGCCATCCGCTCCCATTATTGTCGGAGGTGGTATGAACATGATGAGCTGTGTCACCCCAGTTCACCCCCTCATATGTCATACAACACGCATGTGCGCTTGTATGACTTATCCCTAAGGCTCCAGTCATACCTTCTGAAGAAGTGCTTGGAGCATCTGGGAGCCTATAGGGTATTGCTTTCCTTCGCTTTCCTTCGTGTCTTGCGATCTCCGTTTCCACTCCCTCGCAGGCCGCGCGCCGTGCGGTGGCCGCCGCCACGTCGGAAGCCAAAGCCGCCGCGCTGCGGCTCAAGGTGCCGGAGCGCGGACCCACGCGACGCGTGGCCGGCGATGGGGATCATGATGGATCCTTCCTTCAGAGAAGGGCAGGTGCTTTGAGATGGATTGGACTTGGCCCCACCTTTCAATCGGAGCCGAATCGGATCCGAGCCGAAGCGGAGCGTTTTGGATCTCGGATGGGGCTCATCCGGAGCTTTCGGAGCCTCCCATGGGAGGTCCGAGTGCAGTGCTGGCGAGCACGGCGGACGTGCCTTGGCGCGCGCCAGTCGTCAGGGCGAGGCGAGTCGGGCGAGGCACGGCGGTTCCGTGAGGTCCGTGAGGCGCAGGTGAATGCGCCAGTAGAATGCAGTCAGGGAGATCCAGGAGTCGAAGAAGGAGGATAAGATCTAGAAGGAGGTAGAAAGGAATAACACAAGAAGAGGACCCAAGAGGAGGAAGAAGCAGAAGCAGAACAAATCCTTGCAACGGAGGCTCAATCAACCGAAGATGGTGTGTGTTGAAGTCTCAAAGACCCTCGTGGACTCCCTTGACCGTTGGTCTAGTTGACCAGCCAGTGGTTGTGGCAAGATTCGATGCAGGTAGCAGTTAGACGATGGGATCAATGGGAAACCAGCCCAAACCGAACCAATGGGTAGGCTGGTCCATGTTCCTTGCAGGGGTCGAGCTGGGAGGTCTTCCTATTTGAGCCACACACCCCTTGTTCAACCTTTATTAATCGATATGTCCTTTGAGCCTTAAAGCTTGTATAGTAGCCCACACGTGAGCGATTGTGTGCACGAGGATTTGTGTTCGACTCTGAGGTTTTTTGCAGGAACTTTGATTTCGTTCGCAAACGAATTTGAGATGGGTGTGTGTTGAAGCCTAAGAAGGAACAGAGACTATTCCCATGATCTCGCATGCAGAGTCTCTTTTGTTTTGTCGCGTCTTCTTGTTCTAATCCCAACACTGATGCAAGCAGTGGCCCAGCAACTTATTGCAGCAATCTTCAGCACAACTTCGGCTGTTGTAGTGGCCTTGCAACACCCTTGTAAATGGACGAGGACGATATATTTCATTCAATGGATTTGCAGAGGAGATCTTGCAGAGGAGCCATCTCAGGGAGTCTCAGGCCCTTATGAATCCTTATTGTGGTTCACCCTTCCGTATCACCAACCCTCCCTGGTGCCTCACAGGGAATGCCACCCAGCCGAGGCTCGATGGAGGTCCCATCCTCCGGGAGGCGGAGGAGGAGATCGAAGCCGAGGCGGCCCAGTTTCACAAGGCGCGAGATCCGTTTTTTCGATCCATGGGAATCTTCGACGAAGCTGACACGACCTGAAACAAACAAGCTGGAGGCTTCAGTCGAAAGCGGAAGGATGTTGTGAAGGGGAAGCAACTGCTTCACCCCATTCGGCTCCGGCCCCCGGACAGACCGGGGCTTTCCCAAGCTGCCTGAATCCGAGGCGAAGTGCAGCAGGGGAGTGGCCTGGATGCGCCTGTCTTTGGCAGAGATCGACCTGCAGTCGGAGTCCCAGTCGATCCTGGGGGAATTGGCAGGAGTCCATCGGACGGTCAATGGGATTGCTAGAGGCGTGTTGATTGACTATAGAGTCTCATGTGAACGGTTGGGAAGGTGAGAAAGAATTGAAAGAATCCCCAGGGATCAGTGGTGTTTGTGTGTGTGTGTGTGTCAAAGCCTGTTTCCAAGGCTGCATACAATGTCTAGCATGTAAAACCAACCAACTAAGTGTGTCTGCGCGCGTCCACTATAGTTGTATTCTAAGTTGTAATGTCGACGTCAGATTTATCACCTCCCCGCTCCCCCCCCTTGAAGGTCAACGAGGCTTGACATTGGAGGTATTGGAGACATTTGGAGACCAGATCACCGTAAATAAGGATGGATGATGGTTGATGTGATTCTGTGTGAAGCATGAGAGTTTGAACCAGAGCCATGAGAGCTTAGCATATTGACCCAAGTTTGATGAGAGATCAGAGCCATGCCAATTGGATCCAATTGGGAGCTTGCATCTGAGAGCCAGGAGGAGGAATGGTCAATGGAGGCTCTAAATGTGGTGAGGGTGGATGCCTACTATACTGTACTGGATGAATTTGGATGATCTATTAATGAATTATCAGATGATCTATTGACAAGAGAAATAGGCCCACCAGTCACAGTTAGGGGTGCCGAATTTAGGAAGAAAGGTTAGGGGTGCCCGGCTACTCCATCTCACTGGATGGGACCAAACACCACCCAGTACACCACCCCAACCTGTGACCCCTTGGGGTAACCTCACACCTTTGCAGGGTTGGTCATGGTGATGATGAGATATGATGAGGCGTCGATTCGTAGTGATTCGGCCCGCGCGGGTGCCCTCAAAAGGCTGCCCACCATGTATTGGTCCCCACACACGAGTTTCGGGTTGAGGAATGTTGTTTGCCCCGTTTTTTGCACTAAATACTTCGTGTTTCCTGCTTGTGGTGGTTAGTTGGTTCAAGGGATGTATAAAGAATTCCGAGCCTGAGCCTCTTTCAACGCCCATGTATTCTGACGCAGATCCAAGGACCTTGAAGGTCTGTAATCCCTTGCGCAAGGGTGCACACCCTGGACATCACCTGATCCCCTGGCCCATCAAGCACTGCGGAGCTGCGGAGTCGGCCCAGCACTGCTCCAGGCGCGGGGGTCTTTGCCGCTGTGGCAGTGCGGCGGACTTGGCCCTGGAGGCTTTGGAAGAGCTGCCGGGGACGCCTGAAAACACGGCCCGGTTTTTCAGAGCTGGCAAGGCCGCGAGACTGAGGTTCCGGGTTCCGTACTCTTCCGCTATTGTTCCTCTCCATACTGTTGGTTAGTTCATGTCAGTTCTTGGTTCTTTGCCAGCCACATTCAGCTCGATAATTATATAGATGTTGATTTGCTGGAATAGATCTATACAATGTGGATTAATTTTGAGAACCGATGAGAAACACATTTTTTTTGACACCATTTTCCTCTTCCCAGGTCCTTGTAACTTGAAGGTGCATCTGGCCATTCCACCATGACACCCTGCCACAGGTTCTGAGCTTGTGAAATGAGGTTCTTTGCCCAAACAACATCATTATGTACTCTAGTTTGGGCGTGCTGACACTCTTATGGGCCATGTAAGCTTTATAATGTTTTCAAATATGTTCAATATGCTTCATATTTTTGTACTCATGTGTGTGTGACATCGCAGACCCCGAGCCCTCTTGCCATGGCCAGAGGGTGTTTCAGAAACCTGACCTAGGCCTGAAGCTCAGCAGGAGGCCAAGCTCTTGCATGCAGCAGCCTTGTTGGGCTCGGGACGGCCAGCTGAGGCGTGAGGGATGCAGTGCAGGGGAGTCGGAGGTCGTAGAGGTCGTCGACTGATGTTGGGGCCGAAAAACATGGAAGATCAGCTGATATCAGTTAGGAATCGACCTGGATGTCCTGTGAACATGGACATGTAATGACATGCATGACATGCACCTTTTTGGGAGGTCATCAATGAATATTCAAAATCCAAGTGCATTCTCAGAAAACGGTAGGTTGGCCATCCAATGTTATTGCGCGGTCAGCAACAACACCAGCAAGACCTCGCAAAGACTATAGCGCTTGAGAATTCCTAAAATGCCCTCGAAACCTGCCAGAAAGTCGACCCGGACAAGTCCAAACAGGATCTCCAAACGTGATTTGGTTTGACCGAAAAATCCACATTCTTAGCGATGATGTTTCTTTCAGGCGGCTCAGACCTTTGCTTTGGGATCGGATCGAAACACGTTTGCGGCCAGGCGGAGGCTGCAGTGCCTAAGCGGTGATGTGGGGAGTGGAGGCTTCAGGGTCAGGTGGATCTCAGGTGTGTGATACTTATCAGATATGTGCAGCATGCACTCAAAGTATTTCAAAGCTTTTCAAAGTCCGTCGTTCCGGAACAATCCAGAACCATGGTGTCTATAGTAGTAGCATGATGTAATATGTGCATGATGTTTTGGGGTTGGTCCCACCTGGTCACACCCCTTGAGTCACTCCAACTAGTACCCTCTATGGGATTTGTCTCGTCCAGCTGCGCGGATCAGTGATGACCAACTTTCTAAAAGAGAATACACGACTTGTTTCGAGGTCTTGTTGTGAGGCTAGTTTTTGGTAAGTGTGACCAGTGGCAACCCGGTTATATAAGGCTCTTAGATCTGCTAGACTTGCCTGAGCTTGATTCTGCTCCTACTGTTGGCCGGACTCTAAGGAGCTCCTGCAACGGCCTGGGAGCTTGGGTGCTTGGGGAGCAGTGTGGGTTGAAGTACAAAGCTGTTGAATTTTGGAGCCAGAATAGCCCACGTATGCAAAAGCGAGTTGGAACAGGGGTCCATGAAAATTTCCCGTGAGGGTTCTGGAGAACCAGCAGTGGTGACTCTCATACAATTAGTTCATCCTTGTCTGCCACATGTTGCAACACCTCAGTGTGATGGAGACAGAAGTGGCATGGGGTGGTATATCATGTATATCACCCTCAAATATCAGTGTTCAACTCCCAATCCTTCTTTTGGATTTTTTTTTGCATTTGAGACAGTGACTAAGAGTTCTAAGGCCAAAACCCCGCCCTACCCGCACTACATTGACATGCCTTTCTTGGTACGAGACTCACACCCTCCATTATAGTTTAATTAACAAGAAGCTACTAGTAGCTCCTGACATCGCTACTAGGAACAAGGGCATCGCTACGAACGGAGCAAGGACACTACTAGTAGCTCCTGGCATTACTAGTATAGCTTAGTATAGCAAATTAGCTGGCCACAAACAAGGGCTCCACATGGCTCCAGTCTCGCCATTCTCACCGATTCGGTAGACCGTCGACCGTCGAGGTCTCGCAGTTCGGGCGAGCGACGCTGGGAAGTCGCTGCCCTACACATCTCGGCCCTGAGCAAGGCGATGGACGACCGTGGCGAGAAATGGACGTGGCGGGTTGGCGGTGGATGGTGGTCTTAGATGGGAAGTGCCAGGGGATTGCATTTAGCGCCAGGCTCACGAAATTCCAGTTTGGGATGGTATTTCACTTGGATATCACTCTACCGGGCGGTTCTGGGTTACCATCTACCATCGGGCACGAGGAATTGGCGTTGTGACCATGGCTGAAATATGCCCAAACATGCCAAAACCAATCAAAATTCATCCTGGTGGAGGCCTTGCAGGGCACACGCACAGCCTACGAGGCGAGGCTGCAACATGGGGTAGAGGAGGGGCTTGTGACGGGCGCGGTTCGGTATGGAGTGGTTCCAGCACACGATGTGCGAGCTTCTCCGGGACTTCTCCGAAGCGACAGGTTGGTCGGGTTACTGTTGCCAAGTCCCCGCAGAAGAGGACTTATTTGGACAGAACGAGAATAATGACAACAACCAGAACGTTTTAGCCGGGAGTTTGGTCTAACTTTCACGGAGCCACCTGTCAGAAGGACAATAAGTGACCAATAGCCAGTTGAAGTGGTGGGGGGTGCTTGGGTCAACAATGCCCAATGACACTGATGCGGGATCCCCTGCCATCCTGCATTCACATCAGCATGTTCATTTTGGGACAGCCACAAATTGGCTTGTGGTTTCAAGCATTTGGTACTTGGAATGAAAGCTGTGAACAGAGCCGGTTGGTTCAACTATATGGATCAACTGCATCACTTGGAAGTCCCAGCAACCGGCAACTCCGCCCCCCTCGCCCGGGTCCGCACCGCGGGCGCTTGGCTCGAGCGAAGCACTGCACCGCGCTTGGAAACCTCACCGAGCCTGGACCCACCCGCCGTTCCACCGAGCCCCAGCGCCCGAGACGGACGCGTCTTCATATTGGTTAGGTCGGTGAACATCAGGGTCCATGGAGTCGCACGCGAGTGGCTTCGAAAGTCCGGTTCATACATGTTCATACTAGCTCAGCTTAGCGCCTGGTTTGGAGGTGAAAGAACAAACTGGCCACCCAGCGGCTGGATCCTTTGCGTGAATGCTGTTCCGTTTTCACTTGCCAGTGGTGCAAGATTGAGGCCCTGGCAACACTGGGAATCCCAATTTCTAAACTTCAATTTGTTGGATGTGGCGCTATGCCTCTGATACCTACAGCAAGCGGGACGACCGGTCCACCAACTGCAACCCCCCGAAACCTGTGGTGGAAGATTGGATCTAGTTCTAGTAGCGACACCATTGAACTTGACAAACTCCAATTTTCAGGCCAGAACAACTCTGCATGTGAAACCAGTGAATTTGCCACACTTTTGCTTCTTGGAATATCGTGGAAGCGCCATGGCTTACTCTTGGCTGCTACTCTTGCTTACTCATTCCGGCCTAGCTCTGGAGAGCTGTGACGACGGTCTGGAAGATGCTTTGCTCTCCATGTTGCAGACGACGGTGACCCTGGACCGAACCAAGAGGGATCTGACACTCAAAGATCAGGTCTACAATGCGCCTGGGAAGAGAGCTTCGAATCGGGGCACGGCGTGCCGAAGCCGGCGAAGCCGACGTTCGGCGCCAGCAAAACAACATCAACCAGGTTCTTAGTTGATCTTATAGGTCTTATATAGTTATATGTTCACATCAATCAGTGAGGTTAATTACTATAGTACGTCGACGTTGTTTATTTTCAGACCACAGGTAGCTTCTCAAACAGGAAATTGACCCTGCAAGCATCGGTGAGGGCCAGTCAGTCCTTCCTTGACCGCTTCTTCCTGTGTCTTTTGCGCGAGATCGATGGTCTGAGGTGCATATCCCGAAGTCTGCTGGAAGCTCATTCGCCTTGGATGCGCAAGAGATTTTGAGACCGCTGCACCTCATTAGCCAAGAAGGATGTCTATCTTTGCATCAGAGCCCCTCGTCGAAAGACGGTCACAGAGAGTGACTGGCAGCACAGGCTACAGAGGCTGCACTGCTAAACACTCACCTTGAATGCAGTCTTGGTATGTTTGTGGAGTGTAGAGGTTGGTTTCATAAAGCACGGGTGTTCTTGGCAAAGCCACCGCCGTGCAGTCTTTGTTTCAACCTTGATCACCCTCACCCTCACCAGATCTGACATGTGTCATGGATGATTTGAGGGTCCCAGCCCAAAGGCTCAACCATGCAAGCGTCTTGATGGTTTATGTGGCCACACATCCATGGTGCCACATAGTACCACTTTCGCGCAGCACCTCTACCAGTGTGCCGCTGGTGGATTCGAACATCAATCTAAGCATCTCAATCCGTCGCTCACCACAACGTTTGGATCACCACGGTGATGCTTCGAGGCTTCCAGGTGAGGATGTGGAGGAGTCCTTCCGATACCATCGCCAAAGCGAGACCTGCGCCACTGAACCCCACTCTGGAGCTCAGTAAAGGACGGATGAACAAAGACTTTTCCGCGTCTATACAGAGCTTAAGACAAGTGAACTACGCACATGATTAAGCACTATTAAGTAGCACAAGACTCTTCAACGAAGCACCCAAGCTCTTTGCAGCACCGTTAGCCAATGGTCCTTCCTCAATATCCCTGGACCTTCCAGGTGTTTCCTTTCAGATTCACAAGTGGCTTAGGGTATTGGGTGAAACCCCGAAGGTGCTGGCATGTGCCGGTATATAAATCAGGTGTTGACTTGTTTTGCCTCCAAGACCGGGTGGTGGGTAGGTGATGGTGCTGCGTGCGAGGTAACCCGCAGCTGAAAGGCGCCATCACGATGCTAAGGGACCCCAGAGCACACGTGTTTTGGACGGCAGGGAGCAGCGGGGCTGTTGGGCCTACACGAGCTCGCGTTTTCACATGGTGCTGCTGCTGCTGCTGGCGTCGTTGTTGTTGTTGTTGTTGCTGCTGGGGCTACCAGCAGAGGTTGCGGGGGTCTTTAGCAAAGGGTCCCTGTGCATGTTCCTTTATAAGATTGAAATGAGCTAGAGCTCGAGGCTCACTGGCAACTCAGTTTTCTGAGATAACAAGTCTATTAACGTTGACCAGGTGAAAAAAACGAGAACATCCAAGGTTCCAACCCCTTGCCCTGTGCCCATGATGATTCAAAACGGGTCTGACACATGCCCGGTCTAGATGAAGTCAGTCAGAGTGAGGAAGTGGTTCCAAAAGGCCTTCGTCCAAAACACGACAAAAGAGGCCACCGGATGTTTGTCCTCCATCCGCCGCTCCGCGCAGAGCCGATGCCACCCACCGAAGAGGGTTCCGCGGAACCGCGCGCGGAACCCTCCACGCGCGGCGCCTGAGGTCTTGTCCCAGTACAAGATGTGCCGCAGCCAGTGGGTCTCCGAGTTCCGCACGGCCGTGCGGCAGCCGCTCAGCGGGGAGAGCGGTGGAGTGGAAGGAGTGGAACGGTGGAGAACCGTGGCACCGGTGGGGCGTAACGAGGAGTGGAGCTGTGGCACCGGAGGGGTTTCTGAAACAGACCTCTGGATTGATGCATGGAGGGTGGAGGTAGTGGTTGGAGATATGTGGCACCAGTGGAGATGGTGATTCAATGTGATTCATGTCCACCAGAGAGGGAAAGCAACTTTTGTGTTTGTTTTAGAGTTTTGTTTCCATCATGCATGTTCTTTCTCCTTTTGGATTGGGTTCAATGCAGCCCTGTATCATCCTGTATCGATAGGGATCAGGAGAATTCATTGGATGTTCCGGCGGGGCCAGACCCAATTCTACCCGCGAATATGCTTGACAGCGTTTGATTGCGACATATTGTGACAAATGTGGACGATGTGGACTGGTTTGTTGGTATACCGCGAACGCGGTTATGGCCAAAGATCCTTGTCGAGAACGGTCAATGTGAAACCTGTAGTTACAGATGTTGGAGTGAAGAAGCAACGAGCGGCGAAGACAACAAGGGGACAGTGGACATCCAAGACAGACCGGATCTGCTTCACGAGGTCCTTTGACCGGAAAGCTGCTAGAGTCTAGAGACCAGCGGCCTCGAGAGAGAGACCGCCCTTTTGTTTTGTGAGGCACAAAGACTCCCCCAAACTCACAGAAATAAAGAGGGGTGGTGCTTTCCCTCTACCTTCAAGAATTCCTTTTTTGTGTGATTTCCATTTGATGACCGATATTCCCAATGCCACTTGGGATGAGGGAGGATTGGTTCAATGGGAGACCTGAAGTAAGGTAGTATCATGTATAGTATCAGGGACGATAGATAGGAATGCGACTGCAGTTCTACCCTGCTTCTTCGATCCACCATTGGGATGGTTCTCATCTCATCACCCTATATAGTGAAACTAAGTGAAGGGGAGTCGCGCCCGTCTCATCTCACCACCTGCCATCTATGGTCACCACGGAAAATTCGCACCAAACCTTCGCGCCCAAACCGCGCAACACACCTATTGGCACCTGTCCGACCTCGGGACGCCAGGAAAGGCGACTGGGTGTTACCGCACCGCTTCGAGAACTGGGTGGACGCCTGGGAACGGCTCCGGGAAGAGTCCTGGCACGGCGCCCCTTGGGACGGCAGCATGAGTCAGGGACTGAAGCCCGCGCGGTGACCGCGCTCGCGGCCTTTGCGAAAGGTGACGCGTGCCGCGGTGGGGACGTGGGGGGCAATGGAGATGAAGGTTCATGGCGGTTGAACCATAAATATTTGTTGTGTCTTGAGCAAGTTGAAATTTGGGGTGTATGATGGTATACGCAGGAACGTGGAGAACGCATTTCCGGTGCATTGGTCGAGTCGAATGAGGATCTTAAGAATTGTGGGTGATTGCCCCCTAGGGCTCTAGAAGGTGGTTAGGTTTGACCCCCCCTGGCACCCACCCTAACACCTCAACCGCCTTCTCAGGCTCAGGAGGTAGTTGGATGTGTGTATGTAATTAGGGAGACCCCCAAGCAATCGGTACACTGGTCTATTTCCCGAACCTTCCAGCAGGTCTTGAGACCTGGGACCCTCTCCCTATTTGAGTACACACCCATATCCTTGGAGCCCTCAAGGTTTCCAGAACAACCTGTCCCAGGATGTCTATATCTCAGGTCCGAATCCTTTTTTGTTGAAGCAAACCAGACCACTGACCCCCACTGACCCCGTTTGGGACATGTCGGGACCCGCAAAAAAGACACGGTCGACCGGCACCCCGGTCGTGGTTTGGGGTGTTTTACCTGGTTTTTGCTGGTTCGACATCCAGCACCTGTCTGAATACCGTAACTAATACCATATTTGGGCATCCATCCACCTGTTTATACATATATATGGTACCCCCCCAAAAAAAAACAATGTTCACCTCACTTTTGCTGTTATTTACAATATTTCGTGTCTATTTTTGGCGGCCTTTTGGACCTTCGTTTTTGGGGTACCATATAGCAGGTAGGTTACATAACTTGTTTGTCCAGAGATTCTAAATTCCGGCATGTTAAATAACTTTGGAAGGAACGCATTCAGAATGCATTCAATGCATTCAGAATGCATTCTTGTTCAAAACCAAGATCCAAGATTCCCACAAGACTCCTGGCTAACATCTTGGATTGATACAGTCATAATATAAGGATGTTCTGGCAAATCCCAAATCCAAGATTTTCCACAAGACTTCTGCGCAAATCTTGGATCTTGGTTTTGGGAAGGAATGCATTCTCTGGCATTCTCTGGTAGTGACAAAATTGCACTAAGTGCATTTTGATCCTGGAATATTACTGATTACCGACATTTGTTTCTCATTCAATTCTAATTAACAACTAATTCAACTCTAATTTACTCATGAATTTTAGTGCACATACAATTTAACTAAATTCTAAGTCAATTATTATTCTATTTTAAAAGCACTTCTATTTCTATTTAAATTTCTAAGTTGAGTCTAATTGAACTGTAAGTTGATTCTAATTTGAGTATGTAACATAGTTCTACGTTAAGCCTAAGTTGAGCCTAATTGAATTCTAATTTAAGTTTATTTAGCTTAATTTCATTGTATAGACAAATTCTAATGCAGTTTTTTTATTCTATTTTATTCATTTCCGTTTTAATTCTAATTATGTTTGGCTATTTTAGATCCAATTGAATTCAAACTGGAATTTAACTATTTAGGGTTTGCAATTATTTGCCTTCTGATTATGATGTACTTGCTCAACTGCATTCAATAAGAGCAGTACAATTCACACCCTAAAAACAAGACATATGGTTCTGCATGGGGGTTGCAATGAATTAGATTACTCCATCCAAGAACTGTTTAGTAAACACATAACCTTATGGATTTGGACAATTTTTGTAGTACATAGTTAAATGAACAAATATGCTTACCAACTGCACACCAGCACTCAGAAACATAGTTTTTTTTTGGGGGGGGGGCTAGCATATATATGTATAAGTATTAATACATATGTTGATTTTGGGCATCAAACATAAGTATGAAAGTAATTATGAACACCTTTTTTGGCATCCAATTTAATTTCGTGTCCTTTTTTTTTTCCGTGGAGCCAAGGATTTTACCCCGAGCAACGAGCTGAGTGGTGCCACCATGGAGCTGAAGATTCGCGAATCGCGCGCCACCTGCCGGGTGGTGCATGGCAACGGGTGGAGCATGGCCCCGGGTCTTTGGAAGTGGCGATATGGTGGGATACTAGGTGGATCAAGATCTTGTTTTTTCCCATAGATCTAAGACAATAATAACATGCAATGTTTAAGCGATTTGGAGCAGGGACTCACTGAACTCGATCTATTTGAGTCACAGTGTTGAAGGGATGTGAAGTGGGTGTGGGGGGGGTATTATAATGTATTGACACGACATCATTTAATATTTAATTAACTATGATTGTTGCTCAATGGCACAAAGAGACCAGATATTATTGGCATATTGAGATGCTTCTTTGTTTGACTGCAATGCTTTCACGTTCGCCGGCTGTGCACCAGACTTGGTTCGCATCATGGAGGGACGGGCTAGAACGGCGGCTCCACGGGGCTCCCAGCTTAGCTGTGGCAAGCTACCAATTGGTACCCACAGACAGCGGGTGAACTGCCCTTGTTTGCCACCCGACTAGTGGATGGCGGTGCCATGCTAGCGGCTCGTGCTGTAATCCGTTCGGAACTTTCTTTCTTGTTTCCTCCTGTCACACCTCCTTGTCTGTGGACGTCGACCTTCAATCGTCGGCAAGAAGATCGTGCTGCAGCTTCTTCGACCGTTTTCGGGTCCCGAAGTCTAGTCCTTCGATGGGTATGTCGCGAAGGGTGAGGGTCCCAATTGACTTAGCATGGAAACAATGAGTTCTAGAAGGGACGCTTACTAAATTCACTTCCCACCCATTTCACTCACTTCCCCACTGAGCCAAGCCTTCTTGTGATGAGCTCCCCCTTCCTTCAGGTCAAGGCTTGGGGGGGAGCCACCCTACAGCGTGGATCGAGGCGCTCCGGACTGATTCGATTGTTCCCAGACCGCGGCAAAAGAGCTTTGGGAAAATCAAACACAAACGAAATCCATTGGTTGGGAGGGTGCCCCTTATGGGTGGCGTATATTTTAATAGGGAGCCAGACACTCCATCAGACTGGCATATATATATATATATGCAGATGCCAGTGCAGATCCCTACATTGACCGCAATTCAGCCACCCCTGGCCTGATCGGTTGCCTTGCATGCAGTGGCCGGGCATGGAGGGAATAGTTACCTACAATTGGGATCATAAATCGATCGGCTCGCTGTTGCCATCCAGGAGATATGACACACAATATGCTACTCCAGACACAAGCTGTTTGGGACTGGCATAGAGAAAAGACCCATTGACCCCATTACCCAGTTCGCCCCCCAAGTGGCGAGTCTTCGCCAGTCCGCCAGTTTCGCAAGCCCGGAGTCCTTGAGTTTTCGGGAGTCTATTTCCTGTATACATTTCAGTGTCATGAATGGGGTCAACGGCTGCCTCTTCCTGTGGTCATGGAGGGCGTGTTTGTGCATGAGGTCCGCTCCACTTCTTGGTTCACGGATGTTCATGGTACCTCACCTGACTCTTTCTTAATGAAGCTGTGACCTCAACCCAAGAATTTTCGTCGCAGTTCGGAAGGGTTGGATGTTCGCCAGCGTTTCTTGGGAGAGAAACTGCAAAAATCGATGAGTATAGCAGTTGCATGCAACAAAGTCTCTCATCACACTATGTTTCGAAGGCTCTTTTGCCAAGTGCCCACTCCCTAGAAATCGGTTCTTCTCCCACATGGGACCACTGCTGGATCCCACGAGGTGGCAGAGCACCCGTCGGTCTTACGAACGTCCATCTTCACGTCCCAAAGCATTTTTATGACAGAGACAATCATGAGACAATCTGATGGTGTCATGAGACAATCTGACAGTCTTCTTCTGGTGTCATAGACAAGACATGCCAATCATCTTAGACAGGAGTCCCAATCAGGAACGTCCCATCTTTACGTCCCAAATCATGGAGTCCCAATCATAGATAGTTCACCCATGAACGCCTTGGAACTATTTATTTTGGAACTCTTGCACTCCGAGTGTTCCACTCGCGTGAAAAGTTGAGCATCACCTGCGTTTGGTTGACCAAAAAAAGGGTCATCCGAACTCGGGGCCGGAGGCCATCGCTAGTATTCGAATCGCGAGAGTCGGAGTCGGGGAAAGCCATTCATGTTGGATCTTAATTAGCAAAACCCACCCCCCTAGCAAAAATCAGGGGGTCTGAAGAGTATCTTCGTGACGTCCGTCCCATTATACTCATTAGGATGCTACATGATGCAACTTTCAGACCGCATTATAGTCCCTACCATTCACCGGTCTCCAAAACGGCCCGGCACGGAGCGAGTCCCGTCAGGCACGCGGCTGCGCATGGAGGATTGGCCTCAACTGGATGGTGGTGGAACGGTTTGGCACTTCACCAAGGCTCGGGTCATGGCGTCAAGGGATGTTGTTTTCGTGACCACAGAGGTGTTGACTGGGAGGTGTTGACTCACAGATGGCCAGTGGTGTGGGAGTGTTTCTTTGATAATATTTTAGCCGTTTCCATTGGCCAAAATGTGTGAAATGGACCAATTTCCAGAGGAATAAGTAGTGAGTAGGTGTTCAGGGGAAGTGAGTGAACTCATATATACAAAACAGCTCTTATTGAGATAGCAGGTAGGTACCATAACAACAGTGTCTAAATTACTACAGTAACTGTACACTACAACCGTACCGCCTCAATTATGACAAAACTCGTAGAGGGTTGCATAGAGAAGGAAGCAATGGGTACGCAGTGGAATGTGGGATGCTACCTATTGTATTTGTCATAGTAATATAGAATTGATTAGGTTTGAGTACTTTCTTGGGCTTGAGACTGAGTATAGTATCAGCGAAAGCGCCAAGGTAAAGGTACCATGCACCAGCGTCTCCCATGGATGAACGCCTCCATTGTTGGGCCCTGGTTTATATTGGGAAAGGTACTTCTATTTGGTACTGCAGAAGTCAATAGCTGCTACATCATGGTCGTTTCACAAACCAGTATATAATGCTACCCATATTACTGTGATTTGCAACTCTTGAAGCTTTTGCTACGCTTCTGCTTGCACATCCCGTTTCGAGGTTCCATTCCAGCGCCTTGTCTTGTCTCGTGTGGGTGTGTGGGGTGGCTTCACGTCGTGGATTGAACTGTGCTACAGCACAGAGAGGAGGCAGAGGAGGCAGAGAGATGGACTCCGAATACTCCTAGGTATCTCCAAGATAGGCCAGGTCATTACTGAATTTCAACAGACTAATGGTTAGTCAACTGACGGGGTCCCATTTCGCTTCATCACCGTCTTCAGTTTGACCAATGCTGAAAGTTTGGAGCGACTGGATGGAAGGACCCTTCTGCCAGTCCTTCTGCCAATCAAAACGTCTCCGTTGAATTGACATGTGTACGGAATCATGTGTACGTCCTTACATGTCTCCGTCCTTACACATCATCATCACTTGTAAGGACGTCTCAACACGTTTGAGCTCTGGAAGACTCCACGTCTGTAGGTTTTTGAGGGTTCCTAAGTCTGTCGGTTTGGGAGCCACACCCTATTCAACCGTTTGAGTTCTCGCACCCAAAAACATACCGACCCCCACTGTTCCGTCGTTTCAAGGTGTTATTCGCCGATGAATTTGCAGAGCCACCGGCTCACCTGTAGCAACCCGATGAAATATGATGCTCAGATCGACAAGGACTGTGGTTCCAACACAATGGATCGATCATCGCATACTATTCAGACATTGAGTTCTTGAACATGAAATGAATATTCCTGTGATGTTATGCTGTGGTTGGAAAATGTTCGAACATGTTGCAACATGAAGACTCCGGAACATCTAAAAGGAGCACACCAGAATCTCTTCCAGAATTCGAGCTGTGAAGGCTTCTTGATGTGTTGAACGGCATTACAGACACATCAGCTGGATGGATCGATCCTATATATAGGTATAACATGTTCCTATTTGTCCGGGTTTGTCCCAGAAAACCTGTAGAGCCGGGAGCAGGTCAATAGGAGCATGATGGAGTTTGTGTAGGAGAAAGGTCTGGAACCTAAGCATCATCCACTGTTGCAGGTAATGGGATATACCATATACCCGATTCCCATCCTTTAGGAAGTATATGAAAGCATAGTGTTTTTTTGCTTTATCTATGCATTTTGTATGATGTTGAAGGTGACCAGCACCACATTGACATGACAATGGCGACGCGATGTGCATTCAGCGAAAGCACGCGATCTGAATGTACACGGCACCTCAATTCCTTCCGGTGCTGACATCGATGTTGCTTTGATTTGAGTCCCCCTTGTCGTTGCTTTGAGTCGCCTCATCCTGGCTTTGAAGACATGAAGGTGCTTCACAATTCGGTATTTGGGTCCAGACCCCATGAGACCCCTGTCCTTAGTCCTTTGATGACCATTCCTTTTTCAAGAGCACTCCAAAAACCACCGTGTATGGGCCACGAGTGCCACCTTTCTTTGGGTTTGGCCAGCAGCATGGCGACGTCGTTTCATCATTAGTCCGTTGGACCGTTGGACTGGGGATTCTCTTCTACATTGTGGACTGTTGATTGAGTTTATTGAACAAAACCCTATGAGGTGATGTTCGCCGCCCATTTGGGCCACGTTTTAACATATTTGAACTCAGCTAGCTTGGAATCCGGAGAAACTACCTAGGCCCCCGCTGGGGTGCACCTTTTGAACACAAGCTTAATTTAGTTAAAGCATGTGATCAAGCCGGTTCCTATGCTCTTGATGTACTCCCAGGTTCCTGTTCTCTCCATCATCATGTTTGATCTCCACAGGAGCTGCTGATTCAGAACGTGAACACCTTGTGGTTCGTGGGTTTCGCTGAAGCGTCTCCCGGATTTGATGCAGAAGACCTTCACTCCTCGTCTCCCCTTCCCCGTCTCATGCGTCGACATGGAACGGCGGGACCCGGGATGGGGCTCCGGGGATGACCCCAGATTCACAGTGGGTCGTAGCACCTGGAGGACCCTGGTTTTTGTTTCCACTGAAAGTGAACGTAATAATAAACGACCAAGCCAGGAGATCAACCTACCGAGCGCCCCCGCGGCGCTCCGGGTGTCGACTCAACATAAACCAGCGGTCGTTGGTTCATGTTGGTGGCTGGACTGGGCGGAAAGCCGCTCATCGGAGTTCCAGGTCTATGAGCTTCATACCTACGGCTTTGATCGGAGATAATACGTCAACAATAGTATCAACAATCCACAAATGACCAATGAATTTTGTTGGGTCCCGAAGGTGACCCGTTTGGGTGCCCTGAGTGTTTTTTCTGTAATTTTGTTGGCAATAGATAGCCGCACACATGGGCCTAAGGTGTATCTAAGCTGTTTCCTTCCTGAGTTCGCGCTTAGGCCCTCTGCCTGCTAGCGGCTGAGGTACCAGTCCTCGCTCTGTTTGCTCCACTGGCGGGTGAATCAAACGCTGCCCTCGTATTGCGACTGTATGGACAAGCAGAGCTGGCAGTCCTTCCAAGGACACACTGAGAACCAGACGCCTGGCCTTTCGCTCGCGCCATTGATAAAGGCCTAAAGTTCCTTTGTGACACGGTTTGTTTTACAGGACATAAGAAACACAACTCCGTTCTCAAGAAAATCCAATGCGCCTCAAAGATCAGTGGGTTGGTCAGTTGACAGTTGACGCATGTGACATGGTGTGACACATGTGTACAGTATCGCAGTTTGACCCGATCGATGGCTATGAAATGCCACACCTGTGAAGGCAACCTACGACTTATAGATCATGTTGTGCATAGGCTCGCGAATCCAGTGGCCAGTCCCTTACTATTGTTTGTGGTGATTGATACCATCACCCTGTTCTCCAGTCTATGGGTCATCCAATCATCCAATCCTCTACGTCTATACCTGGAGTGCCTCCTTCTCTCAGCTCTAAGGAACAGTACCTATCATGGGGAGGCCAAGCTCTCGCAGCTTTCCCGGAAAGTCTTGAAAGAGATTGATGCGTGCCTCGGTTCCTGGACGAGACCACCTGGTCCCCTTTAAACATGGTGGCACATGAGCTCGTTGAGCCTGAGTTCGGGGTACTGTAGTTTTTTGGTTCATCAACTGGTTTCGTAGAATTTGGGAGGTTGTAGGTGGGGCTGGCGGTAAAAATCAATGCACGGGCGTTTCTGTTCTTGAACGAGGCGGATGATTGCTTAGCTTTGCTTGTTTTGTTGAATGTTGTCCTAAAATATTACATTGAAACCATACACAGCGAATGTCGGGATGGAATGGGGGACGGAGATGAGAACCGAGTGCCAACTTTATAGTACTTTAAGTAATCAGATACTCTGAGCTAATCACAGTCCCAGACACCCTTGTAAAGACCCAGCCCAATATTACTGTATAGACTTGACACTGAGTGAGAAAGACATGCTCCAAGTGCAGAAGACTAAAGTGGATGCAACACTTTCATGATGGCAAGGCGCTATGCAAGATGCAGGGAAACGCAGAATTGAGACAGAAAACAAAGGCACACACACAAGGAACACAACGAACAACAACTAGATAAATTGGACAAACGTATGCAAGATTGAGATAGGCGGGAATAACGGTAAGACACGAACCAGCCAAAAGGCACCAAAGAACAGGAAGTTGAGATCGTTAAAAAGAAACAAGAGAGATGAAGGAGCTTAAGGAAAACACAAACATTACACAGATTACATCGATGATGCCTTCTCCTCTTCTCAAAGCCCAGACATCCCATACCAATAGTATTGCAACACAACATTCTGGCTCCCCGCCCAGGCTCACTGCCACGGACCGTTTCCTGTATGACTTCGCCTGGCGGCGCTTTGTGCGGGACTGCGACATGGTCTTCCAACAGAGCGGGAAACAAATCCTGCGCCTCGGCGATTGAGAAAGGCCGTAGGGACTTGAGAAAGTCGTCGCTGCGTCAGATGACGCCTGTCGGGGGTTTTGCTTGATCTGCATGTTTTGAAGATCGTTTTTGCTGGTCTGACAAGGGAACAATGAAATAATCATGGACAGTTGCGTTTTGTCACCTCAACTCCCACCATGCCTTTCAGTCCCTACACAAACTCCAGAACCCAGCCCATACACACTGCCTGAAATCATCCATGGAAGTGGAGTGAAAGCCGTTTGTTTGGTCTTGCGATGTCATGGTCATCCTTTTTGAGCCATCCACGAAAAGAAAAACGAGAAGTGATTCTTTCAGGGAGTGTATCTTCCACCTTCTCCCTCTAAGACGCTACGAGGCCTCCAGAGAGGCCTCCAGCACTCCTCCGTCACTTCAGGGAGTGGTCGACTGCCCTGCGAACCCAGGTGCAACGTCACTGGTCCTCCCGCGCCGAGTCTTTAAGTGTGAGACGGATTGGCCGGCTGATGTGGGTCATGTCGCCCGTCGCGCATCCAATAGAAATGAAGAGAAGCGTTCAGGCAGCAGGATGCTGGATTTGGATGGATTCCGACCCATATCCATATCAAACTGCAGTTGTTCTGAGAGAGCTTGGAATCACTGTGCAGCGAGAAAAAAAGGAGGTCGCTCTTTTCATGCGTTCAGAGACGTTCAAGGCAAATCTCAAATCAGCAGATCGCAGCAACGATGCTCCTTCAAAATCCGTTGAACCTGGTTTGTGAAAATACGTGGTCTTGGGTGTCTTGGGGTCGAAGCAGTGGTTTTCACATGGCCCAATCATACGATAGAAGCATGATGAAGCATGATCACATTATATCATGTTCTCCATCAATGTAGGCAATAAACAGTGGATCGATCCACATGGGTTGTATCAAGCCCAAACTTGTGGTGATCAATCCTTCAAAAATCTTCACAAGTAACTCTATTCATTTGCTTGTCCACAGGTCACATCCGTGGGTTTTTTGGGTTGAAAGTGCACTGCCAGGAAGCCCTCCGCTGCTTGTCGGATGCGCAGAACATCTACCGTGATCTTCAACTGTGGAGTTGTGAGGGCGCCCCAGTTTTGGGGGGGCTCGGCCGGTGAAAAGAGTGCTTAGCAGGACTGGAAATCCTCTCCTGGCAGATGGTCACAGACGAGTTGTTTGTAAAGAAACAGACGGAGTCCCTCGTTGCGGACGCACCATCCGGATGGTCAGTGTGCTAAAGCCTAAAGCATCAGATCTGAATGATTGAAGCGCTACCCTATCGCACGTCATTCTTGCAACCTCAGCATATCGCAGCAGATTCTGCCTTTTTTGCAGTGGAGAGAGGGCTCAATATGCCAGACGCTCCAGAAGTATACCCTGGAAGACGATCCCATGGACCCTGAAAACCACTGGTTGGTCGAGGAAAACAATCTTCCAGGGGGGGGCCAGACAGTCAGGGTCTATGTTTGTTTTTTTTCGGGAGTGTAGATGAACATCAACCATCTTTGGCACTCACCCCCTGTTTGCTCACTACGCCGTGGAGCGAGGTCACTACGCTGTGGAGCTTCATATGGCCAGACTCTACCTCGAGTCTGAACGACCTCACGAGGTGGGAAGGGAGAAGAAAACGATCCATTTCGGTGCACGGACCTGCTGTTTTCCTGTTGGATTTGCAGGTCGCATACTTACACCAAAGACCAAAAGACTTCCCAAAACTCCAAAACACTGGAGATGTCTTCCTGGAGCAGGACAACATCTCCTCTTTTTTTTGGGGGGGGCTCCTGTCATCTCCTGTGTCTATGGTTGTTTTGCCTCCGACCCCTCTGGATCAAGTCGGACCTATCTCAGGCTGCCAGCATCGCGGAGGAGGTGGGGGAGCGAGCGACGACCGGAGACGAAACTCTTCTAGTTGACCTGGAAAAGACCAGAGAAGTTGGAAAATCCCATCATCTGACATATGTCCGCAACGTTGACATAATATTGTGAGTGCATGCGTACTAATTATAACATAATATAACGTTATCATAATGGTTTCTTCAATTGTATGGCTGGACCCCGCAAAAAATCACAGTCGACTCGCATTTTAATAAGGAGATCCCTCCTGGGGTACAACGGACGTCCTGACAAGGCCTTGGTCTTGATCCAGGATCTGGGCGTGGAAGCTCAGTCGGGATGTGCCAAGAGAGGTTCAGTCGCATTGTAGAACCCGTCACCTGGGGTACCTACAGGTAGGGGATAGTCTATAGGATCTATAGGGTTCTTCGACCTTTGTTGGTGTATACCGTTTTTTTGGGCGGTCGGGACCAAGATCAGGACCGATCATTTGGGTTTATTGAGATTTGTCAGAGGTCAGAGGCAAGGGAAGTAGTATGATTGGTGTGTTTTGTCATCACAGGCACTGTAGTCTACTGTATTAGTTATGTGATGTTAATTTGCAAGATCCACCACGGTGGAGCTCTTGGCCTCATGGATATACTTCGCCAAGCTTAGCCTACCCAGGGGACCTCCACTCAGAGTACCTCGCCTACGGCCTCCTCTGCTGCGCGATCTTGGATGATGAGTCAACTGGTGATCGGCGCCTGCGAGCAGAGGGGCGTGCCAAGGAGGCGGTAGAGACTTGGACCGAACCGCGCGGTGCCGCGGCGGTCGCCGAGCCGTGCCGCGGTCATGGAGGAGCAACCACCGAGCGACCCTGTCAGATGTTCCCAGCAAGCTTCATGACTGTGGTATATAGTGTGTCGAAGGTGTCAGCATTGGTACTGTTGACAGAAGTCATCCTGCGGTTTGGTCCGGATATACACAATCCCAGCACAGCATCTTGGGGTGAGTGCCTTGTCTGAGGAACGCTTCAAGATACAAGGCAAAAGGCCGGGGCTTCCGAGAACAACGCGCAAAAGGGGTGACACTTTGCAGGTCAGGTACGTTCAGTTCCTGAGGAGGTGTCAAAGTGGAAACAGAGGAGGCTCAAACAATGTCGACCGAAAGAACCTCGCACATCCTTTGAGCCATCCGCATGTTGCAGTTTTCTAGGGATCTCAGAGTTCCAGCGGCTCTCCCCTTTCCCAGCCGTTTGAAACAACGCGCATGATCCATTGTTTGCATCGTCACGGGAGGCCTCATGCGCTGGCGCTGAGCTTGCTGGCAGGTGTGCTGGGTGAGACCAGTTCCACCTTAGAAGCCCGGACCAAGGTGGAGGAAGCACTGCGGCTAAGCCGAGACCTGGAAGATCCTTGGACATCCAGTTGGATGGGAAGGCAGAGTATCTTTAAGTGAAGTTCTTCAAACATGTTTAACTCTTTAGCGTATTGTTTATATTATATATAAATAATAGATTACAAATGATTATAGTAGTTATATCCCAGATTCTTCATAGTGATCCTTTGATAAAAGTTTGGTTTGAGGTCACTTTCGATATCAAGAGCCTAACTGACACGTGGAACCCTCATATCAAAGGGACACTTAGGAAAAGAGTGATTTCCCACATACTGCATAACCTAATTTGTTGATGGTTTATATAAGTGTCACACAGTCATAACCCTTCAATCACCTATCTATCCACACTCCCAATCCAACCATCCCCTAGTAGTATTAGCTTAGATATAGTTAGTATTAGTATAATATGAGTTGTAGTCTAATTTATCGTTAATGCCTTTTGTATGGAACGTTTCGTTGGTATTGGGTTTTTATAGCCCCACCCCAAAACGATAGGGGACGCCCGCCCTAAAAAAAACGATACCTCAAAACGATACCCACCCCAAAGTGTCAAAAGCTGAAAAATGAGAGGGGACACCCTAATTTACTGAATACAGCCCAAACCAATAATTTAGACGCTGGCTCATATATGTTTTTTTCTTTTTGAAGCAATATCTATATACGTTATTCCCCAAACAGTTTACTGTTGGGGTCTATCTTTAAAAAAAAAGAGCTGGCCACACTGACTGGCCGCGCACCTGAACTCTGTGGCCGGGTTTTGTCCTCCTCTTGTCCTTGTCTTGTCCTGCTGTTGTCCTCCTCTTGTCCTTCTCTTGTCCTCTGGCCGTGCTGACCAGCCCTGGACACACTGACTGGCCGCGCCCCTGAACTCTGTGGCTGGGCTCTGTGACCGGGTCTTGTCCTCCTCTTGTCTTCTCTTGTTCTGCTCTTCTCTTGTGGCCGAACAATTAGCGATGTCGATGCCGACAAAAATCAAGCAATTTGCTCTTGGGGGGCGTACCAAGAAATCGTTTTTGACTAATATTGGTCCCAACAAATCGTTTTTTGAAACGGTGTGGGGTATATGCTGGTATAGTATTTTGTGGGGACCATTTTAGACGGGCCTAAAGAGTAACCGAACCCCAGAATGTGTTTTGGCTGGGTCCGGGGTTTGATGCGAAAGGCTGAATCTTGACTCATCAACTGACCCCCTCAAAAAATAGCGATCCAAAAAGGGGTATATTAATGATTCGATACTCTCAATTATTGGATCGGGTCCATCGTGTCAAAAACCGTTTTCTGGCCGAGATTTCTGGCTGGGCAGTCTGGGTTAACGAAAAGAACCATGAAATCCTGGCAGAAAAGCGGTGAGCGCCAACGGGACCGAACGGCGAATCCGTTTTAAGGACATGGACCTCGAGGCGCGTGGACAGGGCAGGGCGTTGGTTACGTTGCGCCCGTGCAGGAGCTGCTGTTGACACCTGGAGGTGGTTTATGAATTTTTCAAGATGTCTTGAAGATCTTGTACCAGAGTGAGAGGTTTTTTCAACACTCTGCTGAAAACAGGTGGGGGGGGGGGGAGGATTTCCACGACCTTCAACAGTAAGGATGCTATGCGAAAGGACATGATTGTCGAATGAAGAGGGAAACCGAAACCTTCCACTAACTGAGATTGGTTTGAGGGGTTGAACCAGGGTCGAAGATTTCCTCGCATTTAAGTATTTCCACGTTTTTCCTCTACGCCCTGGCAGCATGGCAGCGTTTCTTTTGGCAGCCCTTTTTTAGGCCCATCTACTCTTGAGACTCTCAAGTCTTCTGGCCAGCGAGAATGACGACGAGACCTTGAAGGCCAGTCCTCGACGCGACGAGCGAGCGTTGCATGGCGAAGCGCGGCTCGCAGCGCCGGAGAAGGATCGGTGTGTAGAGGTTCGGAGAAGGCAGGGCAGAAGCCAAGTGTCCTAGAGCATCCTATAGAGTTGATAAGAGTTGTAGTGGTTGGGTGGAAAGAAACTGAAGATTGTGACCTGTGTTGCTATGTGCTGCTGTTGAATTTGATGCCTAAAGCTGAACAGGAAGGTTGGACTAGACACCCTGACGGGAGTTTTGTAGGGTCCTAATAAATGGTTTCATAGTATGATAGACAGCTATATCATAGCTATATCATATCATATAGGTGAAACTGTTTTTGAACAGGTCCATGTTGATTCACGAGTATTATAAGTCTCGTCAATCTTCTCATTGTGAATTCTGCAGACACCAAAACCTAGATATCTTAGATGACTATCATGAGAATGGTTTCATTAAACAAACAGGTAAACTGCAAAACCCAGGAAGGAAGGACCTGACATTGTGGGACGATAGTGGTTCTGCTTGACCGTCATGACTTTGTCACAGCATACTCCCTTGCATGACTTCCCTTGTACTCAGTACTCTCCGAAAGCACAGGCAGACCAAATCTCACCTGTGACCGAATTCCACAACCTGATCCATTTAAGAACTCGAAGACTAGGGATCCACGGCCACCTTCTCAGAAGGTACTTGGACCCTCCACGCCAAAAACAAAAGGTGTGGAACAGATCACCCAACTTCAGAGGCTTTGCAGGTCTCCTTCGGTGCTCCGCTCCGTCCGTCCGCACGGAAGCGAGCTGAAGCTCGCTCGCTCGCGCCTTCCGTCCAAGGCCTTGGAGGGCGTCATCGCGCTGTGCCAGCGTTTGCCGGAAAAGGCGGAACTCATCGCCAGTGCTCGGTACCTCTCAGCCGCCTGGCGCTTTCCAACGCTTTTGCGGGGGGAGGGACGGACGACGGATGCGGGCGCCAGTGATTTTAGGTGACTTTTTGGGGGCTGGATGGGGTTTCTGGAAGCTAAAGGGCGGAATTGGGAGAGGGGGGGTGCTTTTTAGATGCTTTCGGTATTTTTTAGTAACACATACTAGGGCTTAGCAAGATGTTCACCACCAACCTTGGGACTCGTTGTCCTACTCATTGATTATCGTCATCCTGCAGATTGACTAGGCCGGTATTATGTTTTCCACAGAGATGCTTGGAAGACGATGTTCGTCATGCATCGTTTTGAAGGAGCTAAGTTGGTTCCACGCTGTGCCGAGCGGTGTGTTTTTACCCACCTGTCAGGTGAGGGTGGCTAGATTTTATGTCAGCTGCCTTCCTCCGCCTCCGCCTCGTCCGCCTCGACCGCCTCCTCCTCACCTCAACCGCAAGTGCAGGATGGCAGTGTTCCCCGCTGGACCTCAACCGCCAGCTCCCGATTGCAGTGGGCACTGCCAGACCTCAACACACAACCACACAACAGAACCACAAGCACACAATAAACAACCAACAAAGCACAACCACAATACACAATCACAAGCACACAACCACAAACAGACAATCACAAATACACAGCCACAAACACACAAACCACAAACACCATCACCACAGCCGCAAACACAATCACAGCCACAATCACACAGAAGCCACAAGCACAGCCACAAAAAAAACAACCACAACACACAGCCACGCCGCACAACCACAACACACAACCACAGCACACAGCCACAACACACAACCACAACAGTCAAACACAGCCACAAAAACACAACCATCACAGTATAATTAGCTGTGTGTGTGGCATTTGCGTGGCAGGTGGTCACAGGGTAGCACTTTTGGATACCAACTGGGGACCCTGGCAACACCCCGGCGCGAACTCATTAACACTAAAGTAGCAATGCCAAGCCCGAGGACCCAAAAACTAAAGCAAAAACCACAAAGCTCACGACCGTGGCAACAAGCCTCCTACCTTGGCTTGAAATCAAACGATTGAAGTGCCATGGCGGGGGTCACTCGAAGTAAGTACAGTAACTAATAGCTTGATTCCGTTGGGTCCACGTACTCGATCTGAGACAGCCTACTCGAATCTTTGAAGTTTGCACTGGCTTTTGCTCCCATAGGGACAAATCGTCGTCGTCCTCAGCAACACCCTGCCCGGCAGAATGACTTCACCCTATGTTAAGATCATCATGAACCCACCATAGAGAAAACAGGACACAACATTTTGTTGGACTCCAATATTTATACACGTTTATAACGACGGCCCGGAACTTAGAAGGTAGCATTTTCGGCACTTCAAAACAGTAGATAAATTTAGAAGGGGGGTCCTGCTGCGCACCTTCTAAGTTTACGGGCTGTTTTGAATTACCATGCATATACCGCTATATGGCACCTTCGCTATATGTATATACTACACATATATATATATATACACAAACCCTGTATCTGAAAAGCCTAGAAGAGATCTACCAGCGATGGCCTTCAACCTAGAAGCAATGGCCTCCAATCTACTAGCGGTGGCCTCCAACCTAGAAGAGATGGCCTTCAATCTACTAGCGATGGCCTTCAACCTAGAAGCAATGGCCTCCAACCTAGAAGAGATGGCCTCCAATCTAGAAGGAATGGCCTCCAACCTAGAAGAGATGGCCTGCAATCTACTAGCGATGGCCTCCAACCTAAAAGGAATGGCCTAAAGGAAGGCCGCGCCGCCGCCTCTTTTTCCCCTGTCTGTCCCTGTCTGTCTTTCGATGGATTTTCTTCATGCAATCGAATTCCAGAGAAAAAACATCAAATCTATCGTGCAGAGTTCTGCATTTGTGCAGTGACTGTACTTATGGGAATGCCATGGAGTCTTCCAAGTGGTTTGTCAAAACCTGCAGTGACAAAGGTCTAATAGGCATTCTAAGTTCTGAAGTTTCCCAACAGATATTGTATGTATTGTGTGCATGCCCTGAAAATATAAAGATCGTGTTTTGACAAACGTCTTGGACTTGCAAACTCAGAAACAAGCAGATGGACGGTAGCCCACAAGCGTCCTTCATCATCTGCTGTGTATTGTCCCCGCTCCATCAAGAGCACGCTACACATGAAGTAAGCCTTCTCCATTTGCGCCAAGATATGAATGTGTGTGATTGTGTGTATATATATATATATGTTAGAACCTTCTGTCAAACACATTCTAAGTTAGAGAATGGATGAGGCAGAAACATCGAAACAAATAGCTGATAATAGATGTTTAAAATAAAAAAAAGCAGTCACAGAAACCAACTCTGCTGGACAAAAGAGTGATTTCCATGAATTTCCTGCACGTTCCTTTCATTTACCCTTCATTTCCTTGAATGTGCGTTTCTTTTCTTCAATTTTCTTTAAAACCGCGATAATAATTATATATATACATATATATATATATAAGAGTGATAGAAGAGTGATATATATATATATATGTGAAAAAAGAGTCATTCAAGAGTGGAAAAATAGTGCTTTAAGAGTGAAAGAAATGATTCTTGAATTTATTTGAGTTTCTTTTCATTTCACTCCATGTTGTTTTCATGTTCCTTTCGGTTTTCCTTTCTTTGCTCTTCAAAACATCGACCAAAGTCAAGGGAAATGAAAGGAACCAGCTCAAAACATAGTTATTTCAAGTAGCCACTGACTGGTGATTCTAAGTTTGCCTACTGTTTTTGAAAACACGCAAGTTTTGCCCAGAGGCATTCCAAAATCCAAAGCCCCAGTCGCACTTGTTTGCAAATGATGGTTGTGTTGCACTGCTTCTAAGTTGTTTGGGCCGCTGAACAAATTGTGTGTGTGTGTGTGTTTTTTTTTTTAAACTTTTTTTCAAAACACCCCTAGAACTTAGAATGCGCCACTTTTGGGGCATGCTAAGTTTATTTTCCTGCACAGGAGCGGTGTTTTATAGCCAAAATCTATCAAAAATGATTTTTAGGAGTTTTTCTTGAAACGGAATGGCACAAAAGTCATTCTTAGTTTCGGGCCGTCGTTATATACACGTTATACACACGATTACACTCACTAACATATTGATCCAAAACGACGCCCCAATGGCCAAAAAAAGCAAACATGTGTTTCCTTTTCCCGTGTTGTCGAAATGGGCGGCGGGGCCCTGCCGTTGACGCACACGAAAAACGTCCTCAGGTCTCGCTGCTCCTGCGGATGTTTGATCCCATGGACCGAGTGTACCGAACTTGTGACCCGATGACCCAGTGCTCGACCGTTTAGTTGGTGTTTTTCCGTTTTTTTTTCCTGGGAAACCACCTGGGGTACCAAGAGCATGCACTTCAAGATTGGACATAACATGACATAACAGCGGCTTTTGTCTCAGTGTTGGCCTGGTGTAGGGCATGCCAAAAACATCTCCCCTCACTCTCCGTCACATGGCCAGGACAGCTTAAGAGAGGCCTCCCAAGCACGTGCCTTCTTCGCAGAGGAGCACAACTCTGACCGAGGGGTTTTATACATGCAGAATCATGCAGATGCAAATCATATCAAATCATGGGCATCCTGGGTACGGAGAACTCTGACCCTTGAGGAAATATCCACCACTTTGCTTGTCTTGAAACACCGGCGGCACAAGGCGAACACTTCTTTGGGTTCATGGGAAACCCATGAACTGAAATTGATACCACCCCGAACAGAGAGGGCGGCACAGACCGGAGTCGGCGGCTTGGTGCTGTACCACCGTACCGCCGCACCGCCATCTGTCGTTGTTCACCCGGCGGAGGAGAAGGACCTGTATCGGGAGGCCTTGACGTTGGTGGCCATTGCCTCGGTGTGCTTCAGCCGCAAAGATCTCTCGGAAGCCAAGGTGCGGGAGCATTATGCGAAGGGCAAGACACGGGATGGGAGATGGGGATGGGAGATGGCTGTGGCTCATGGCACCCTGAGTCCCTTTCACGAGGGTAGGTAGTCTATTCTGTTCATGCTCAGTTGTTGGTTCCAAGATTGGAGGCAGTCTTAGAACAGTATAGATAGTTCAGAAACTATATATATATAGAAACCCTACAGAAAGTATGTTCAGGTGGAACTCCTAGAAGGTGTCCAATTTTCCGCACATTCCACGGCCAGAAGCGTCCGCCCTTGGCGCGCGCGCGTGCGGGTGTGCGCCCTTGAGGAGTCGTTGGCTCTAGCTCGAGAGCTCTTTCGAGATGCCTCTGACCCTCGAGGTGTCTCGCTAAAGAAGTGAAATAGGGAGGAGGGGGGGGAGAGAAACTAAGTGACTGGTAGTTTGTCGAGAGGATCGAAAGACACATGCCTACTCTGGGGTTTTACTGATGCTGAAGGCCTAATCGGATGTGAGGAAGAATGCATGCTGTACTCTTTAAATCTCTTTCATTAAACGGAAGTGCTTTGGCTGGCAAACCAGTGGCAAATCACGACCCGCATCCCACTAAGCAAGGGACCGAGCAAGGCTTGTAGCCAGAATCAACCCATCCCTAGGGCTCCAACCACTGAGAAGGCAGTTCGACCCCCCTCACACCCACCCCAACCACCGAACCTGAGGATGTGGTTGGAGCTCCAGGGCATCTCAACCCCGTCCGGTCCAGCCCCTTTGAGCAATGAGGTGAAGTCTTGGCCTTGAGCACCTTGGCCGAGATGCACCAAGCGGAGAACGAGATCCCTGAGGCCTCGGCCTCGGCCTGAAGTGTCAAGTCGGTGACCGGAGGAGCGCTCGGTTGGAACCACCAATGCCTTGCCAGAACCTCAATGTGTAACCTGCTGCAAGAAGGGGTACACCCCAGGCAAGGTGGGTAAACCCCAGAACCAAATGACTCCAGTATTCCAAGTCCACATGTGTCCCTGTGTCCCTGGGGATTTGAAGGTCGAACCATCGAACATCGGACATCGGGTCGGCGACTTCGAGTGAGAGCCTGCTCCACCCTGGAGCAGCACGGCAATCGGTCCAGCACCACCCTGGACCAGCACCACGGAAGGGGTGGGGTGGTTCTTGGATGGAACTGGAACCATACATAGATAGTTTGGGGTGCCTTTCCGTGGTCCTAAAACAAGGCTTTAGTTGCATGTGGAGAAACGACGCGTCTTTGGAGCCATCTACATTCGATGTTGGATATGTGACATGGTACGAAGGATCGTTAAGCTTCCCTGACCTAGCCTTCAGGCGGTTCCGAGGGAAATACGCGTGGGAGCGAGCCGAACATCCACCATCCCAAGTCCAGTACCCACAGCTTGTCGCTGCACTCGAGAGGAAGGAACGCCCACGGGTGAGACTCCGAGACTTGGAGACTCCAAAGAGGTCAAGAACGGCTCAGGTCCTGTTGCTATAAACCACCTCTTGGGTCCAGTTCTAATAGCTATTATACATTATTACATTGTTATACCATATTACACCTGGATCTTGCTGTTGTTTGTTTGTTCCAAGGTTGTTCCCTGAAGTTGTTCTTCGTTCTTCTCTTTTTTTCACCGAAATCATGAGGCCCTTGAGGTGCTTCAACGAGCACGGGCGGTGGCTCAGGAGACGGGAAGACGAAAACACGGCCCCGGAAGACGGCCAGCGGAAGACGGGACGGTGTTCCAAGCTCACATAGCAAACGCGAGAAATAGCAACACATAATCTCATAGATAAATCTTACATCATTCAACACACACACACACCAAGAAATCCAAACACATGTACATAAAACATAGCACAATGACGTCAGGTCTTTTGGGGAGCATGGTCGCTGGGGGATTGTGCTGGTTTGGATCAACGAGCTTGTCCAGCTCCGAGCTGGGTGGTGATATGTGGTGATACTTAGAGTTCCATATATGTGATGTGTCCGACTCGGAAGGTAGTTATAGTTGTTGACTTCCCTGACTTGCTCATATCTGTTTACCAGAAGCTCAGGAGATTTTGATCCTCCTTTGTACTGCCATAAATAGAATCCTCACTCAGAAATCGAAATAACAATAATTCCCACTCAGAAACAATTTCCAGCCAGTGTGAGGGCCTCCGCTTGCAGTTCACAGGGGGATGATTTTGCAGGGTTGGGTTCACACTGCTCTTGTTCTCCATCTTTGGACCCCGGGGCGCGTTAAACGGACCGCAGAAAACAGAAAGACCTTCGAACATGGGGAAGATCCGCCGACATGGGCGCCGAGATGTGCGCGCTGGGCGCTGGGGGGGGGGGGGGGAGCGCAAGCTTTCCGGTCTCCACATCGCGTCAGCCCGGGGGTTGAAGCATTGGCCGCATCGCTGACACTGTGCTCGCTTCAGAACGCAGGAAAGGCCTTCAAGTTCTGGGCACCAAGTCTTTGGGATGTGTGACTTCAGTTTTGGCTACGAGGTATACCCACTCTCAATCATGATAATTTTTGCGAAGGGGCCAGAGGAAGAACATCGTCAGTTGAGAACATGCCCTCCTACCCAAACAGCAGCTAACCTTCTTGCTTTTCTATGGATTGGTTGCCCCGATTTGGGGTGCCCTCACAATAGAGAGGAACAGTTTGGGAAAAACCCATGACAAGTGGTTAGATAATGTTAGATACTCTATTCGGAGCAAACCGTTCTGGTTGGTGGACCAACACCCAATCAACCCCCTCGCCACACCGAAAGAAGCTTGTTTTGAGTTCTCCCAAACTTTTTTTTTTCGTGAATTCTCATGGTATGTATTGACACGGAGACTTGACAATAGATCACAATATTAATGTTGTTTGATGTTGTTTGTGTATGGACAGTAGATCGCATCCCTGTGAAGCATTCTGCTTCAAGGAGGCGGGCTGGAAGGAGGAGGAGGTCCGACTCCTGGTCGAGACGCTGGGACGGAAATCAGGAAGTTCCGGGACCTGCGAATCAGCCGGAGGTTCCGGCTTTGGGTGGCGTGATGTTGCACGCTGTCACCCGCAGTATTTAAAGCTCCCCAGCTGACGACAGCTCACCCGATGTTTTAGGGCGCCCTCGCCCCGAAGCCACTGGCGAAGCCACTGAATTCGAGGATCGCCAACCTGCAGCGTGCGGAGAACGTCAAGCTCTCGGCACGCACGGCGCGGGAGGGCCTGCGGATCGCCAAGCATGCGAAGATGCTGGAGGGGCAGGCACGATGCGGGAGTTGTAAAAGGTTGTGAATGGACAATTCAAAGAACAACAAGTGAGGATAGTGTGGGATGAAGTAAACATAAGAATACCACAAGTATCCAAAAGTGCTGAATCATTTTGAATATGCTCCAGGCAGGGGTACTATTTCATGGATATAAAGATTGTTGGCATCCATGATTTGAGCCTCAAAGAAATCAGAGGACAAACACTCAGATAACATTGGAACATGTGTGTAATGTATCGGGTCTCAAGATGTTTAAAGACGTTTCATTGTCCGAGGTCCGAGGATGCCCCTTTACTCGTGGGTGGTTCTGTCACCTAAACCATCAACATCATCCAAGACCTAGATGTTGCGGAACGGTTCCGGCGCCAGGATTGGGATTGGTTTTCCAACTCAAGCTTCTATCTAGATGGGGTTTTGTCACTATACGTATATATGAAGTACAATGGAATGAGGAACCCCATGTTTCTTGAGGCATCTTCGAGGTTGGAGGTGATTGTTTCACTTTCATGAAGGAGAGAAGGAGTGTACATACTGTAGGTGTTTCTGAGTGCATCTGGGGGAGGGCTGAAAAGCCGTCCTGTCTGATCATGTTTGACATCTCTGGGGTTCACGAGCAACAAGGGTTCCCCTTTGCAGCTGTGGCTGTCGTTGCTGAAGCTGGTGCAACAGTCCGTTGCGTTGTCCTTGTGACTTGTGCCACAGCAGTTGTGCTGAAGATTTGCTCCAAGCCCTGGTTCTGCTCCAAGTCTTCAACATCAAGCGATCGCAGGTGCTGGTTGATCCAAAGAAATCCAGAAGATTCAATCTCGATAACATGGAACGCACTTGAGAACAACATGAGAACGGTATAGGCCCCGGCAGCTCCGTGACAAGCTTATTGGGCAGGTGCAACTGTTGATGCAATGTGTCCAGTGACTGAGTCCTGGTTTCGGGCGATTTCGGGCGGATGGAAACGATTATTTCGGCCCCAAGTTTTTCCTGAGAAGACTTTGGTTGGAAAAAAATATCTGGCGGAACCGACAGACCATGCCTTTCGGTTCTTCTTCGCAACGGTTTCTTTGTGTGCCCCCGTTCGCGGAACCTGGCGCATCAGGTTCACCTACCCAGGAAGTACGTGGATCACCTGATCACCTGCAAAACCTGGATACCCCAAGTGAAATCCAACAGGTGGACACATGTGGACACTTTTCTGGTAAACCGAGGTGGGTTAGTTATATCAGTTGTGAGGTCCAAAGCCGGAAGAGGTCGTCTTCGACCATCCAGGTGCCATCCAGGGTTGTGGTGTTGTGGCTGGAGTACCCTACTCGACCATCCGGGATCCCCAGAGGACGGACAGTCGGATGCTCCAGGTACATATAGATGTGTATATATATGTCGTGCAGAAATACATCTCCAACCGGGTTCACTTGAGACACTGAATGATATTTTTCAATCAATGCCTTTCTTCACTTGCGTTCTTTTGTCCATTGTCTGTAGAGCTTTTGTCTACATTCATTGACATCTTTACATGAAGTCCGCAGCACAAAACCCCATAGAAAGACGAGCCATACATGAGCGCCAGCAGACGGGTGTCATGGCGTCACGACAGTGACGCTCAAAATGTTGACCTTCCGAAAGTGAAATGGAAGGGTGAACAATTCCGACATATTCCGACTATAATAACATACTAAAAAGATAAACATGATTTGCAAAACCACACGAGTTCGTGGAACATCGTGAAAGCATCTTCCTGACAACAAAATACATATAAAATCCTATAGGTATGTAATTGTAAGCGCAGTATTGAACTGCTTTACTTTGAGTGATCCCCACCATGGGATTGTATTCTGCCGATAACCGACGGCCTGTCCGACGGCTATATTGCTTCAACACCACCAAGAAAGTGCCTATATATATGTATATATTTGCATTATTTTTTTTGGCATAAATTCTGGCTTTCTTTCTGGCATGACCTGAACAAAGGCATTCTATTCGGCATAAACTCTGGCATTCTATTTGGAATACATTCTGGGGCAGTCTATCTTGCATACATAGTAACACTCTATGTGGCATATATTAAGGTATATATTAAGGTATTGTATTTTGCATATATTCTGCCCTCACATCGCAGGTGGGGCAAAGCCAGGCGGATCTTTTAAGACATATCTTAGATTAGTGTGCGCAACACGACACCAGTGCTTAAGCATCTTCCCCCCCCGACCCCTCCTTGAGATACACCGCGCGATCTGTCGCGACGATCCCTCGCTTTGTTCTAAGTCTAATGAAAAACAACCAAAGCAAGCGTCATGAGGGTGTGTCCGTGCCGCACCCATATTTCCTGAAAATAGCATCGCAACACATTGCAAACCACATGATTTTATGAGATGATGCATACCGTGAGAACTTGTCTTATTTCAAAAAAACGGCCCGAAATTATAATATGGTATATCATTGCTTTCATAAATGCGACGTGAGTTCCAAGGAACCACATTTGCACATGGTGAACATGGAGGTGTCCGACACACCCCGGGTCCGGGGGCACCTCGACGGTCCCGACCTGGTATTTCTGATGGTTTAGGACAGGTCACCTCATGTCACCTCAGTGTGGTCACAGGGGAAACCTGGACAGATCACCTCATTTGTTGTTCTTCATTGTCTTTAGCGGGGGGACCTTCAAAGATTGCCTCAGTGGTTGATATAGTGGTAGACAAGGACTTTTGAACATCATGAATCTCGCCGTTTGGAAAACATGTGCGAGAACATGTCATTTTTTAATATTTTTTTAGGGGATTGTTTTTTTGGTTGTTGTTCTTCAACACCCAACGACTGCTCCTGGCCGAGGTGCAACCTGATCCTGGCCTCGAGCAGCTGCTCCCGGAATTTGTGGGAAGAGACGCGACGCTTGGCGGACGATGCGGTGATGCTCACCAGCGGTATCAGCGCGGGATGGCGAAGGTGGGATGCTTTTCGTGTGTGTCTTTGTGAGCTGGGTGATGAGGATTGTCATTATATATATGTACTTGAGAAACAAGCAGCACCCTCCAACAGGTCTCCTCCAGTGGTTTTTGGAGTCTGCGGAGACCTAGACGTTTAGCTGTGTGGAGAGCCGTTTCTTTCTTTTTTGTTGGACGTTGCCAGGCAGTTAGGCCATTTTATGTCACAAT